GTACACACTTCGTTGAATAGAAAGGTATCAATGAATAACTTAGCGATCACTAATCTATCACTATCGTTATCAGCAGTAGGCATCTCCGTCATCAACGTCGTCATCGCCATCGTCATCATCATTACCATTAACTTTACCATCACTATTGTTATCATTACGACTTCGACCGCTATGACAGGACTAATACCATCACTCTCAAAATGCTTGGCAGTGGCACCTGGGGTTGTTGTTTAACCCTTTGCCCTCGGGTGTCGGGAGAGAAGATAATACCCTAAGCTCTCCGAAGTTTTGTGTCAGTTGGCATTGCAAAATGTATGTACGAGTATAGCCCCCTCCTCTTGTGCTTTCAGATAGATATTTTGCCTATCGTCGCTGTTTGTCGTGTTCTTGGCATCATCACATCCACCTGTCTGTCTTTCCTCCGCTGCCATGATGCTGCTATGGCATTTGGTGAATTGGTACCGATATTCTTCCTCCGTGTGTTATAGTCAGCTGATCTATTTTTTTATCACTAGCTTTCTCGGTAGTAATTAGCCAAAACAACTAACGGATATATTTTATGCTAGTTATCCCCGCGTACCGCTGGTGGATATGTCAGAATCACTGTTTCCTTTACTTTTTACTTCCTAAAAGCAAGGATGCCCAGCAACTCCTAATAAAATAGGAGATTGAAGGTGGGATTTTTTTTTTTAAGTAGTTACTTCCTTAACTCAAAGCATCAGTTACTCTTCTTCAGCAACCCTATTCCCTGATAAAACGATTTGGAAGATAGTCCCGCCGGTCACGTCCCTCATCGAAATGGCCGAAGCATATGGGTCATGGAAGGCTGAGTTCAGAGCACTTCGCTTATGTGCCTTCTGTTTAACTCACACCGCGAGGATTTTCCTGTGCGAGAGTGATTTCTTCATGGAGGTGGTCATTAGTAGGTCCTCCATCTGACAATGCCTCTTCTTCCTCCTCTTTTAAGCAACCTATGACTCCAGCTACTGCCCACTCCACCTCCTCCTCCTCCTTCTGCAGGAATCTCGGCTGTAATTTCCCGAAAGTCCTCTTGAAGACCATTTTCCACGGGAATGGTTTCACGGGCCTTAAAACACGTGTCGAGTAGAGGAAGATCAGACTGGTGGTCACGTCTTTGATCTTGGCCTTGGAATGGGAGGGAAAGGAATCGGACCTAAATGTCTCCAAAGAAACATGCTAGAATCTGTCGAGCGTTTTCCTTCTTGGCGGCCACAACGTGCGTCATTTCTTGATGATTCTTCGTTGCTCACACGAATAGAAGACCTTTATACGGTTTTTTGACGAGTTATATTTAGGCTAAAGTATCGTGAACCAGTAGGGGATGAAGCAAGGCCCTCCCCCAGGAGTAGGCTCCTCTATATAGAGAACGACTCAATTGGCTATTGGCCTTATTGTCATTATCAGATTTTATTATTATTGTTATCATCATTGCTATAATTGTTGTTGTCATTATTACTACTGTAATTATACTACTGATAGGTGTGAGATTTTTCCTTTTCCATCCCGAAGTTTTAACCCTAAAACAATAGAATCTGAGAAATCAGGCAAATTTTCCTTTATAAAACAAGAATAAAGTTAGCTCGGCAGATGTAGTCTAAATCCTGGATGTTTATGTATACCAAATGCGCATTATATATTAGTATTGGGAGTTTCTAGTGCTGTGGGTACATTTGCGTGGGATTATAATATCGAAACTTCAAAGTCATCTTCGAAATGCTCTGACATCGTCTTCCAGATTTTTTTTTTTTTTTTTTTTTTTTTGGGGGGGGGGGGGGTATTCACGGTCAGAATGGCTAGGGAGGCTTTGAGGTGTATTTCGTCAAGTGGAAAGTAACGGTTGTCAGATAAATACGATGAGTTATTTTGAAATGCGTCCATAAATGTGATATATGTGTGTGTGCGCGCGCGTGTGCGTGTGTGTCTATTCAGTATATCAAAATGAAATATTTATTTATATATATATATATTTGTGTGTGTGTCTTCAGTACATTAAAATGATGTGACACTTGTCACATTGCCATCTGCCAAAATATGTAGGCGTGCGTACACACACACACATGCACATACATATGTGTGTGTGTGTGTGTGTTCAGTATATCAAAATGATATATATGACATTTGTCACATTGTCGTCTCCCAAAATGTGTACGCACACGCACACGCACACGCACATATGTGTTTGCGTGTGTGTGTGTGTGTGTGCGTATATGTGTGTGTGTGTGTGTGTGTGTGTGTGTGTGTGTGTGTGTGTGTGTGTGTGTGTGTGTGTGTGTGTGTGTGTGTGTGTGTGTGTGCTCATGCTATTACTAATACGTGAGTGTTTATGTGTGGTGAAGAATTGTAAGCAGAGACGTATGTTGACACTCTTATGCCCATCACTCTGCCATATAATTAATATCCAAGACCAGCAGATTTCCCAACAATCTCTCTTTAGGATTCTTCGCGCCAGCTCCCGGGAATTAGCAGGAGCCTCGTTGAGGAGCTGTCGAAGGGTTAGGCTATTTAATGACTTTTGAAAATAATTACAACTTCGTGAGAATGACCTTATAGATATTTTTTTTTTTAAGTTTTCGTCCCGATGCTTAGGATTTGGTATTGCATATATTTGCGTTTGTAGGATGGGTGTAATTGTACCTGTATGTATATTTGAATGTTTACATGTGTGTGCGATTATGTGCACGTATACACAACCTTAAAAGTTCGCTCAAATCTACCATTTTGGGACTTTTTGTGATCACGTACAGCCACGATCAAAGCTCTCGTCAAGAATGCTTCGAACTCTATCTCGCACACACAGACAACGATCTATTGTAAAGCAAGTTACTGTAGGAGGTTTCCACGTCTCATTCATAGCACACTTCTTTTCGTAACTGTACCTGTCTGAAGGGTAATCACTCTCACCATAAAGTCTGCTAAACGTACATGGCAGTGAGTCTGTAACAACCTCTGCCGTAACAATAACGCGCAAGTTCCGTATATTTGTGTCATTAGATATGCTTTATCATAACAACAAAGTCAAAGAAGAGTATACATAACCTCACGCTCTCGTTATATTAGTGGATGGTCGGTAGTTTACGTTGATGGCCTTGCTTAATTCCCAAGCATTATGGGTTTCGTGTTTTGTCGCCAGCTTTCGTGACAGTGATAATAAATTCACTCTGGTTGGTCAATCTGATAATTATCGAGTCCGTAGCTTTGGTATAGTATGCGTGTCTACACACTATTTCATGCCGATGTGTATGAAGATTGATTTTCTGATGAGTATATTACCCTTTACTTCTGTTTTTTCGCCCAGATGTAGGAATACACATAGGGAATGAATTGTTTACTTTTTTGTTAAGTTTCAGTTAAAGGCTATCTTGTAAAGCTCCCTGTTTGGTGTAAATATATTCAGTAATCCTATTATCTTAACCTACAGGTAAGTAACGATGTCTTGACACCCTTGCTGATACTCTCTATTGCGTCTCCCGACTCTGAGGCGCATCCGTAAAATGCTGACTTTGCTGAGCTAACCGGATTAAACCGGCCCTCACTCACTCACGTTCATCTCACTCTCCTCACCACTTCACGTCCCGACTCGTTTATTCATACATTCACTCATACCAGGGATAATTGCCTGATTCGTGACTCTCTCCCTGAAAGTTATTTGTACAGGGATTTATATCTTTACGTCGGTAAGATCTGTGTAAGGTGTATTAGGTTGAACAGTATGATTTGGATACTCACAGAACTATATGGTTCTAATCATTACAGTGATAACGGAAGATGAAAGTGATTTAAGCCAAGGTTAATGAATTGTATCGTGACATTCGACCGACTGGGAAGGTCGCTGTAATTCATTTCTTCAGACACTGTAGAATTCTGTAGACTCTTGTGCGGTTCTGGATGTGCTGATGACATTACTTTGTGACCATGGTCTTGGCTTCTAAAATACCTTCGGGAAAATGCCTACAAGTGGAGTGATTTCAACTCAATAGCTTCGTTCACTCCCATGTGCAAGACACTGGAAATATGAAAACACCTGTGCTGTTTATCTCTTGCGAAGATGCCTTATCTCTGTATGTTGGATGAAAACAGGTGTGAGTAAATAACTTTCTTCGAATTGATAATAAGTAAAAAAAAAATGGTTGGTAAGGTTTACTTTTGGTATTTGGCAAAAAAAAAAAAAAAAAAAAAAAAAAAAAAAACTGCTTCATTTCACGGATAGGCTTATTATCAACTCCAGTATCTTTAACAGAAAGATCTTTATCATAGTCTCAGTTGATAGCTTGGCATGTATATTATCTTAAATCTTCTCAATTACCCGCGATTAAATTAACTGAATTAATAAATAATCCATAAGCTATACGCCAGACTTCGCGATAAGACATAAAAATGACGCAATTTAACAAACGTATGTTGTAAAAAGCTGAAGGTATTACAGGACGCAGTGATTTTTTTTATTATCGAACATTATCATATTTAGTTGCAATCTCTTTCCACTTTATTACTATGAATTATGAAGATATACTGTCTAAACTCTGAAATATAAGTTATATATAATCAATACAACATGTAAAGGTTGAACTACAGACATTCCTTACTACGAAACTTTAGTCATCTGCTCCACCATTACTAAAGAATCCTAAGAACATGGAGATGATCACATATACAGATATGAAAATCAAAACAGTTCAAAACAAAATGAAAACCTATGTTAATAATCTACCTGTTTTATACACATGATATTATATTTGATTTACCCCTTAAAATATGGCCATATTCTCACGTTTTCTATGATCGCCATTGAAATATCAAGTAAATACCCAATAAACAAGAAATACATATACAAAAAACACATACACCAAAAAATATTCAAGATTAATTCATATTATATATAAAAAATAATAGAAGTAACTAATGAAATCCTTACTTTATTTTTAAGACGTACTTTAAATGAAATAACTATAGACCCTGATATAGTTGTTTACATTGGGAGGATGAGAAGAAGGCGAGCGACGAGTTGACATCCATTTCCTTCCTTTTTTCTCTAATTTACTCAATGAAAAAGGTGATGCTCGACGTGTAAAGGGGACGCGATGGAGAGGGACTTGCCGAGTGACAGGTTCATGGAACTCGACGCTGGTGATGATGACGCTTTGCTGATCCAGAGAATCGACTCGAATGAGATTATCTATTGTCCACCCAAGAGGAAATATAAGGTGAGTTGTAGGCCTAAGTTTTTCGTTTTTCTGTTTTTTTGAAGGGTTGTTTTGGATCGGGGTTGGTGGTTGGGAGGAGAGGATTGTGTGAATGAGACGTTCGGTGTGGTTCGTGTTTGTCTGAAGGGGTTATCTTGGTTTTATTATAAGGTGAATTGTAGGCCTATTTTTTTTCGTTTTTTCGTTTTTTTTAAGGGTTTGTTTGGGTCGGGGTTGGTGGTATGAAGGAGAGGATTGTGTGAGTGAGACGTTTGGTGGTGTTCGTGTTTGTTGAAGGTGGTTATTAAAGTGGTTATCTTGGTTTTATTTCATGGTGAATTGTAGGCCTAAAGCTTTCGTTTTTCCGGTTTTTTAAGGGTTTGTTTGGCTTGGGGTTGGTGGTGGGGAGGAGAGGATTGTGTGAGTGAGATGTTTGGTGGTGTTCGTGTTTGTTTAATGTGGTTATCTTGGTTATATGACAGGGTGAATTGTAGGCTTAAGTTTTTTATTTTTCTGTTTTTTTAAAGGTCTGTTTGGCTCGGGGTTGACAGTGGGAAGGGAAGGGTTGTGTGAGTGAGATGTTTGGTGTGGTTTTTGTTTGTTTAAAGTGGTTATCTTGGTTTTATTTCATGGTGAATTGTAGGCCTAACTTTTTCGTTTTTCCGTTTTTTTCAAGGTTTGTTTGGCTCGGGGTTGGCGGTGGGGAGGGAAGGGCTGTGTGAGTGAGACGTTTGGTGTGGTTCGTGTTTGTCTAAAGTGGTTATCTTGGTTTTATTTCATGGTGAATTGTAGACCTAACTTTTTCGTTTTTCTGTTTTTTTAAAGGGCTGTTTTGGCTCGGGGTTGTTGGTCAGGAGGGAAGGGCTGTGTGAGTGAGATGTTCGGTGTGGTTCGTGTTTGTCTAAAGTGGTTATCTTGGTTATATTACAAGGTGAATTGTAGGCCTAACTCTTTTGTTTGAGGCTGGTTTTTAAAAGTCTGTTTGGCTTGGGGTTGGCAGTGGGGAGGGAAAGGCTGTGTGAGTGAGACGTTCGGTGTAGTTCGTGTTTGTCTAAAGTGGTTTCTTCTCGGGGTTGGTGGTGGGGAGGAGAGGATTGTGTGAGTGAGACGTTCGGTGTGGTTCGTGTTTGTCTAAAGTGGTTATCTTGGTTATATTACAAGGTGAATTGTGGGCCTAACTTTTTCATTTTTCCAGTTTTTCAAGGGCTGTTTGGCTCAGGGTTGGCGGTGGGGAGGGATGGGCTGCGTGAGTGAGACGTTTGGTGTGGTTCGTGTTTGTTTAAAGTGGTTATCTTGGTTATATTACAAGGTGAATTGTAGGCCTAGCTCTTTCGTTTGAGGCCGGTTTTTAAAGGTCTGTTTGGCTCGGGGTTGGCGGTGGGGAGGGAAGGGCTGTGTGAGTGAGACGTTCGGTGTGGTTCGTGTTTATCTAAAGTGGTTATCTTGGTTTTATTTCATGGTTTTGTTCAGTTGGGTGTTTATTGTTAGTGTGGTTTCCTGCCTGTCGTTCGCGTCTTATTTGTTAAGTGTTGTTTTTATCGTCATTATAAACAGAACTAGAAAAATGTGTGTTTGGTGTAATTTAACCCTTTGTAGAGTTATTAAAATATTTGTACTAAGTTCTGAGATTGACATATGAAACAGTGTTCTTTTTATATAAATAATTGTCTAGAGTCTGTTGTGGCATAAAGCTGATGGAAAAAGATACAAAGCTGTGAAAGACCATGAAAGCTGTTGTGATCTAAACAAAAATTTAAAACTAAAATATTGATGTACTGTTAACCCATTGCCGCTGGGGAAAATGCTGTGCCTATTTTCTATAATTATTTGTTAAATGTCTGCCTATAGATGGCTCTGTTAGCGCCTGATTTGAAATGGCGGGAAAAAAATATTTTTCACTAGTGCCATGAATATTGATGGTGTTATTTTTATCATAAACATTATAACTCTTATAATGTTTTTTAACATTAGTAACATCAAAATAAGATAACGTAAAATATTTTGTAAATCAAAGAAACGGGTAAACGGGCGAGACGGGCGGTGCTCGTAGTCGGCTCATTAGGGAGTTAGTACAAGTGTTGCCATCTATACGTAAAAACAATCTAACAAGTAATCTCACAGTGGGCATGGCATGACATGCCTGGCGGGAATGGGTTAACAAGGAAGTGAGTGCCATTTGATATTTTGCCCAAGAACCATGATAGACATCATGGCAGTCTCTTTTACATAGGCCTGTACTTTGCTGCTCCCATACATGATGCTAATTTTTATTCCAGTCCAGAAAGTCAATATGTCTATATGATGGTTAATATTAAACAATAAAATATATGCTATTACTATGATGCTCTTATTTATTACCTATACGTGTTTATTAAGTGTTCATAAGACCCTGCAATGGCTTCTAAAACAAAGTTTGTCAGTGTTTCTCTTATTGTTATTAAATATGTCTCCATGTGAATCTTGCTGTGGTATGTGGTGCCAGACCTACAGTTCAACATAATTGAGGAGCAGTGCTAGTTAAATGCTGTGTTCACAAGTCATATTCTAGGAAAGGCCAGCAGATCTCCATTAGTAAGATGTAGCATGGCCTAGTTCCTTACTTGACAGAAAATTGTTAGAGAAGTTGTATGTAAGCTCTGTCTTGCTAGAATAAATAATGTAAAGATTTAATGGCCTTTGCCAGAGCACCTGCAGGTGAGGAGGCCATGCCAAGTAGTGCAAGGCCAGTGGTGGGTGGAGGAGTGTCTTTTAAAGATTCATCAGTTATTTGTATGGTTGAAGTTATTAATCAAGTTCTTGTAAAATATCATACTGTGAATTAGATGATGTTATATGACACAGTAAAATAGCTATGGGATGTTAATCAATTTTATTATGTAACAGTAATAAGGAATGTACTGGATGTATAGAGTGGTAGACTGCACTAAATCGTAGTTCAAGAAAATACTGAGATTATGCATTACATTTATGCAAACTTCTGTTGGAGAAAAAACAGCAGCATTTAGATGAAATTAAGTGAACAGACAACCCTTTTATGACCCCTGAAAAAATGTAAAGTTTTATCTTAATTTTCAAGATGTGGTTAACAACAGAGAGTGAAATTCTATTCTTTCTGTTTACCTAAAGTATACTGAAATTATCACCTTTGTCTTACAGCTGGTTGGGAAATATGTTATGGGAGACAAGCTGGGCGAGGGAAGCTACGGCAAAGTCAAAGAATGTCTCGACTCAACCACTCTACAACGCAGGGCAATTAAAATCATGAAAAGGAAGACCCTCAGAAGGATTCCAAACGGCGACCAAAACGTCCAGCGGGAAATCAGGCTCCTGCGAAGGCTAAGACATCACAATGTTATTAGTTTATATGATGTTTATCACAACGAGGCAAAAGGCAAGGTAAGCAAAGGGAGATTGTCATTTTAATTGGAACTTAAGATTCACAATTCCATTCTGTTATTTTTGTTGAATTTTCCATTTGCACAAGTAGGTAAACTGGGGCTTCTAAAAACCTGTATATCTACATTTTTTCAGATATACATGGTCATGGAGTTTTGTGTTACGGGGTTACAAGAAATGCTTGACAGATCAAAAGACAAAAAATTTCCCATCTGGCAAGCAAACAAGTAAGTCGTTTTCCATAGTTTATCATGGATTGTAAAAGTAGGATATAGCTTTCTTTTCATTTTTTTTCTTGCATACTTTTCAGTATACTTGAATAAGGTACTTTACATTTACAAATGGTAATCCTTTACAATCTGTTTCCTGTTGGTGCCAGAAATTTACTCTGTGACCAATTTTTACCCTAGATACTAATGTGTAAACATTTTGAGATATAATTCATTACAGTCAAGATGAAAACGTTGCCCTTTTTTTATTAATCATTAATCTGCTGGACACAGACTGGAGACAACACTAATGGGATTTTTGTTTTGAAATTGAAATTGCTGAAGTTATATACAATGAAGTCAGTATACTAAAAATTACCTCAATAAGAAAAGCATGAACATGTCAGTCAAACAGATTGACAGTAATGTATACTCCCAAATTATAAGACAAAGAGATTTTATAAGAATAAATTGCTTGAGACTGAGACAGAAACAAGGCACCTATTATAATAAACATCAGTATACTCTCTCTCTTGTTATTGATAGCCAGTAAAAAGAAAATCGAAAAGGTTATTATAAATTCCATAATTTGCTTATTGCCTTCTTCCCCCCCACAGATATTTTGTACAGCTGGTAGAGGGACTAGAATACTTGCACAGCCGAGGTGTAGTGCACAAAGACATTAAACCTGGCAACCTCCTTCTTACCTCTGATAATATGCTCAAGATTTCAGATTTTGGTGTTGCTGAGGCAAGTCAGAGTTTTTTGAGTATTCTTTCCCATTATCCTATTTTGTTTTTATTTTCCTTCTTCTGCCTCCTCTTTCTCCTTTTTCTCTTCATCTTTTTATGTAAGCTTGAGAAAAAAAAGCAATGTTGGTGTAAGGGTATTAGAAAAATTGCACAAATCTCTATAGTCATAATATCTGCAGGCCATGTTTTACAAAGGTTGGCATGGGGTAGTCTAAATAAGGCAACCAGGCAAAGAACATGTGCCTTATGCATGAGTTCTAGTCACATCACCCAAGTAATGTTTTAAATATGTCTTTATGTCCTATGAAGGCACCCAGCACCAATTATTAAATTTAGTTTTTGGAATGAGGATGGCATTCATTGTTATAGGGGATTTTTTTTTTCTCTCTCTCTCTCTCTCTCTCTCTCTCTCTCTCTCTCTCTCTCTCTCTCTCTCTCTCTCTCTCTCTCTCTCTCTCTCTCTCTCTCTCTCTCTCTCTCTCTCCCCCTCTCTCCCTCCCTCCCCCCTCCCCCCTCCCCCCCTCCTTTTTTTTTCTCTCCCTTTTTTTTTTCTTTGTTTCTCTTTCTCCTTCCCCTTTTCTTGTCTTGTCTTGTTTTGTCTTGTCTTCCCTGTTTTCCATGGAATAGTTTCTTTTCTTTCTAGAAATGAATTTCATGATATGCAACATATGAGTATGAAAGGGATAAGAAAGTAGAAGATTAAACAGAAGTGCAAATGGGAAACAAGCAATTTGTTAAAGTGGAAAATGGAGAAAATGAAATGCAGTTTCAAATATTTATATCTTAATAGTATTGTTATAGAATATATTTGTATATTTATGGAAAGTAAATGATGATAAAATTTATAATGAAAGAGCTGTAGTGAAAACAGATAAAAGGAGAGGTGGTTCATATATATATATATATATATATATATATATATATATATATATATATATATATATATATATATATATATATATATATAGTGTATAGTATGTGTGTGTCGTGTGTATATATATATATATATATATATATATATATATATATATATATATATATATATATATATATATATATTATATATATATATGTATTATATATATATATATGTGTGTGTGTGTGTGTTTTGCTTGTGTACTTCACATTAGGTGTGTTTATATGATTATACTTATTTACATGTGCCCTCTTCCCAACAGCAACTGGACGTGTTAGCAGGCAAAGACGAGATCACAACCAGTCAAGGGTCTCCACTGTTCCAGCCACCCGAGGTTGCAGGTGGAGCTCGAGTGTTCTCTGGCTTTAAAGTGGATGTTTGGAGTGCTGGTTGTACTCTGTAAGTCTATGGTTGTCTTATAAGATTGAAGTTTCGAAGGCCTCTTTCTTTCTAGCTTGTTTTTATAGAAGAGACTCCTTGTATTTAAGAATGATTTCCAAGGGGGGGGAAAAAAGGATTCTGTATAGAGAGTAAGATCTTTATCCGGCTGGATCTGTAGACTTCATATTCTGTGGGGTTTGTTTTTTTCTGCATGTGTAGTTTGCTTTGTTGCTTTGATTTAAAAAAAAAAAAAAATCTTTACCTTTATACATCAGGGGGGTTGGAATCCTTTCTTTTTGTTACATGTTTCATTATTTAACTTTATTAAGCGTGGACGGCACTGCCCGTTGTTGGCTCTCTAATCGTCTCTCCTAGTTGGTGACTTAGAGTGTGAAAACTGAACACCTCTATCAACGTGTAGCAACATACACTAGAGAACCACCCGAAGACACCAACCCATTGTATCCTCACAGCCAGCAGTCCTAGAGATCATTGAGTAAGGACATATTACCATATTTTGCTGGCTTGAAAAACACATAACCTTCTTCAGTCAAAGAAAAAGAGAAGATATAACCCTGTGTAGTCTGTTAGTACAGGTATCCTTTGCTTAACCACTAAGGACTGCAAGCCCTCCAGATTGTCCCCTCCCCCCTACACCCCCTGCCACAAAAATAGACAAAGTTTGGTTGCGGGCATTTCAAGAGCTTACTTTTATGCACCAGAAAAAGTGTTTTATTATCACATGTCAAAGTTAATAGGGTATCAAGAGAGCACAAAGTTGAAATAGTTACCATTTTGTATGAATGAAAGTGAGATTACAGTAGATATGTAAAAAATACATACAACATAATATATATATTTTTTATATGAAACAACAAGGTGTATATTTAAATGTATGAATAGTAAAAGGGTAACAATATGCCAAGAGATGTGATTGAAGAAAAGATTAGAGGTTTGGCTAGATGAAACTTTATGAGATATCCCATTAAGTATCAACATCATTACATCCCATTCACAGTGGGTGTGGCTGGAAGAATCTTGCCATACAGTACCAGTTGTAAAATGTTTCTTTCATAATAAAAAAAAGTTGTGGGAAAAAAGGCATGCTACTTTTCAATGGTGAATAATAAAGCATGCACATTATATGTTACCTCAGTCATGTGAATAGAATTTTAAGAGTTAAAGTGCATCAATATCTTTGATATTTTGAAGTTAACCTAATGGATTCAGATGGCAGGTTTACATACCAGGTCCACTATAATTTTTGTTTATTGATTGTGTTTACACAGAAATGACTCCCTAAGTGCTTGGTCACCTTAAAGTCAATTACTATTTCACCTGTTCACATTTTTCCTTGATTTTTTGAAAGATTCTTTAAAAATAATTTTGCTGTTTATTGTTAGTAGCATTTAATAACATTGTAATAATCATAATGCCAATAATAACAATAACAGTATCATATTGATATCACAAATTCAGGGAATGAGCAAATCAGGCAGTCACTAAGGCCTACTAATTGACTCCTTGGTGACTGAGCACTTGTGGACACAGCTGTTTGCAACAAAAATAACAAAATACTATAGTGGACAGCATGTAAACCCAGATCCATTGGTTTAAGATAATAGAATCAAGTGGTTTACCAAAGTATGAATGAATGTGTAGTGAATCTTATCTTAGTGGTAGAATGAAGAGAGCTTAGAATAGAAATAAATTTTTAGGTCAGCTAGTTGCTTATTGAATTTTCAAAAGCATTTTTGTCATTCCTTTTATCATGTAGATTTAGTTTAATTATGGTAAAAAAAAAAAAAAAAAAAAAAAGTTAAGCAAGGTATACCTTTATTGTCAGGCATTACCAGGAAAGGGATTCCAATATTCAGTGTTCGTATATGCCTAAGACACAGTATAGTCCCTTCATATATATAAATCTTTCCTAATTTCCGTGGTGTGGTAAAAAATATAACGATAAAATAAGAAACAGCATTATGTAAACCAATAGAAAATTTGTAACTGAAATGTTTATCCTCTCCCAGCACTCATTAACTTTATTTCTTTATTTCTATTTCAATCTTTCTTTCTTTTACTGAAACTTGTTCAAATGACACGCACATGCACACACGTGGACGCACACGTGGACGCACACATGCACACACACGTGGACACACACATGCACACACATGTGCATGCACGCACGCACCCCCATCCCACACACACACACACACATAGTTGACATATCCAAAATGTACCATTAATGTTGTTTTCCATCCTTTCATATTAAACCCTTTACCACAACAAGTAAGGTGTATATTAGAAATTTTATATGTTGAATGCCTTTTGGTGTTTCCACAAGTAGTATGTAAGTGTGGGTTGTAGTGGATGGAAGTGCATCTACTACATGTCTAGTGGCTTATCTCTTCGGGGAGTTCTTGGAGTGGGTGTGAGTGATATGGCTGGGTGCTGTAGGTGAAGAGGAGAGCTACAGGAGAGCCAGAGAGGCCCTCAGTCGGCCAAGTGCATGGCTGCCCTTTGTGTTGCTGCTACATGGCTGGCTGAAGTGGAGTTTATGGGGGAGCTGGAAAGGCTTCCTTGTTGGCAAAGGACTAGGTAGTCCTGGTGTTGCTGCTTCTTGACTGAGATGCTCTGGAGTGGTGATTGTTGATGATATCAGTTCCGGATCCCGCAGTTAACCTCATACTGACAAGTCACGTTTAGCAGTGTCATAACAAACTGCTTGGTCTGCGGCGTACAGCTGTACGCCGTGGCAATGCACCAGAGTGCTTGGAGCAGGACATTCGACTTGATGTAGCGGACTCCGCGCCCAAAGTCTGCTCGTTGCCATTAATTTCCAGAGTGTAGAATTTTTATTTATTTTCTTAATCCGTCAGCATTGGGTTAAGTAGTCAGGAGCTGTGTCATCAAACCAAAAACATAGGGAGTCATGAGATGTCTGGTGTCGACCAGTCAGGTCTCAACAGTGAGTCACAAGAAGTGCCTTACTGGTGATAGAGTGTGAGGACAAGGATGTTGTTACCCAACCTGGGAAGTATATGGAGCTGAGTGGTGCAGGTTGTAGGTCGTGGCTGCTACAGTGTGTTTGTGTGTGAGTGAGAGTAAGAGTATGAATATGCATGTGTGTGAATTTGTGTGTGCATGTGTCTTTTTTCTATAAATGTGTGATATCCAAGAATGATTTTATAAATAATGCACAAGATATAATACCGTAGTCAGTTATTAGTCCCTTGTTTGATTGCCTTTGCTCACTTTAAATTTATATAGAATTAGAGCATAATATATCCTTATAATCATTGATACATTCTGCATCAGTTGATTTGACTTTCATTTTTTGCTCTTGGAAATCAGTAAATCATAGACGTCTTTACAATGTCTATTAGTGTTTTATGGAACTTACTCTTTCTTATATATGCTCCTTTGCAATATACCATAGTTGCCATCCTATAAAAGGCACTTGTTTTAAGAAAAAAATAGTAAATAATTAGCCTGCATCTAACACATCCTTTCAGTTGTATCACAGATGGAAGGCCAGGTACAAGCCTCAGTGTTAGTTGGTGCTGTGAGTTATGGTGAAATATATTGCATGAAACATAAGTATGTAATCAAGTAAAAGGAAGTCATCGTACAAAAGAGTTATTCAAGATAAAGAATAATGATTAGGCATAAGGGGCTAAGGTCTGTGAAATGTGAAAAGGTTTTATATCTCAGTGGTAAAATGGAATGCTCATGTGAGGTTATGGGCCAAATAGATCGAAGCTACATTATCGTTTGTAACGGCATACATGTGAGCCTACAGAATTTTTTTTATTGAATGCATTGATTTTTAATTTTTGTTTGTAAAGGGAGTGACATTCAAAATATAAGTAAGCAGCACTAGAAACAGAGATCCGGACAGTAGCACAGGAAAGTAAGTTATAAGAAAACAGGAAAACAGTCGTTGGATTTGGGTGATCATTGCTGCTTCATAGATGTCTCAATTCAACCGCATAACAGAAGTAAGGCATAGGCAGAAAGTGAGGACAATATTATCAGCATGAGCAGGAGCAGGAGAATGGCCTAGTAGCAATGGATGAATGAACGAGGCCCAGTGTGCCCACAGACTGATTGAGGGGGTCATTAAACCTTGAGCTGAATGG